GGGAGGGAATCCGGGGGCCAGGGGAATGCAGCTGTGTTAGGTGCGGAGGGGTGGCAGGGGCCAGGGTAGGGAAGGCCCTCCCTCCCCCTGCCAGTGCAGGCCTTACCACATGGCTGGGGCTGGTGTAGCCAGTGGCTCCACTCAGTCCCGGTTGGCGGTGATGGCATGCAGCTTCAGGCAGACTGTTTGGATGGCGTGCCATGGTGTGCAGGTGTCCAGGCAGGGCCCCCCCGGGGAGAAGCTGGCATTGCTGGCAGCTGGCGGTGACATGGCTGGTTATACTTCGTGGCTGGGGCTGAGGTTGCAGAGTCGTCAGGCAAGGCACTGGCCTGGGCTTCCGAAGTTGCTGATCGAGGCTATAGGTGGGGAGCTTGGTGGGACGGGCTGCTGGCACCCTGAGAGGACCCTCCCCTGGTGACATATCACCATGGATGCCAGGGCAGGTGCTCGGGCAGGCTGCCCATGCTGCTGTACATGGCATGGCTGAGGCCTGGGTCCCAGTGCACAAGGATTTCTGTCAGTTACTGCATAAAGGGCATGGACTTGTTAGCACTCCCCGACCAATGATTGTGGTTGCTGATGGTGACCCACTGTGCCTGCAAGGCCTTGATCTTTATGTGACACTGTCATGCTGACTGGCCATATGCTCCTGCATCTGGTCTGACAGCCCCTCATACACATGGGTGTTGGAGTGCCCGCCTCACGTGAATTTGTGTAAATTGGGACTGGACTTCCGCCTCACTCCACAGTGCCAGTTTCCTCCTGCAACCAGCTGGGGCCATGGGTGGTGGGCACTGGCATTGGTGATGCCAAGGTGAGCCTCCACAAAACTGTCCCTGTGTTGCTGGGCCTGGGCAGTAGCCTGCAGCACCCTGCCCAGGGGCATGGTATGGGACTTGCAGCTGTGTGGTAAGGCAATGCTCCACAACACCTGCAGGCTCCAGACAGGCTGCTGGGGGTGGGTTGCAGGCAACTGGAGCTAGCCCCAGTGTCCAGGAGCTGCCTTCAGCTGGGCCTGGGTTGGCCAGGAGCCTGCAGCAGGCTGTAGGCCTGGACAGCATGGGCCTAGCAGCCACATGGCACTGTGGTGCCAGGTAGCAGCACAAGGTGTAGGCAGGCTGGTACAGCTAGACTGCGGCCTGCCCAGGGGGACGCAGGGACCTGGAGTGGCCTCAGATGCCTGTGTGTGCCCCAGGGCTTGAAATGCCTGACGGTTTTTAAGGGCCTGGGGCTGCCACAGAATTGGCCCAGCCCTGGAGTAGGAGAGGCTTCCAGGCTCAGAGCCCTGGGGCCAGCCTCAGGCTAGCCCTTTAGTGGCAGGGCTGACCGAGAGCGAATTTGCTCCCAGTTGGTGTCTACATGTGTTACTGTGCAGTTACTACTCGTGAGTAAATTTGCTACTTGCATTTACAGGTAGCAAATTTACTCATGAGTAGCATCATTTATAGTGGAGTAAGCATATGCACATGTAAACACATGCAGTTACTGCATAGTAAACTATGCTACTGTGCAGTAAAGTGTCTTGTGTAGACTCAGTGGGTGCACTGAGAGCAACTTCTATAATGGGTGGGGAGGAGGGAATGTTCAAGGATTTTTTCTTTGGTGGGTTCCATATGAGTGAGAGAATCTATTAATTCCCGCTTCTGCAAAACCAGATTCTGCACATGCTTATTTTGATGTAGTAATGAGCCCCTTTCAGTCAGACTGCTACTTATAGTGTGTAAAGAATGTAAGCAGCTAGTATAAGTTTGTATCACTGAGGTGAAGAGAGAAGAAATGTTGAAGAAAAATTTTAATGTAAATAATTGACGTTAATAATCCATAAGATTGACTGTGCTCAAACAACCATCATTCCTTCTGTTATCCTCTTTGTCTCTCTGCTAGCTACCTGTCATTCACATCTCTCGTTGTTTACTGGACTTGCCTACATTTCCATTTCTATAATTAAAGACTACTGTGAAGTCACATTTATATATAAATGGGATGCTATAAATGATTGTAATATATTGGGTTAATTCATAGTTGTGGTATTTGATGGTACTCAGAACAAGTATAAACATCTGGAAAAAGGTTTTTTGGGTTTTTTTACTTCCAAAAGAAATGAGGAACTAGTCTGGAAAATCTTGGAAACAATGAAGAGAAACAAAGTATATAATATAACATTAACCCTAAGATTATTCTTTGAGATAACGGATCATAAACTGATTAGACTGTAGAAGCATTCTAAGAATTGACAAGCTGGTTCTCTGTTTATGCAGGTGAATTGCTGTCACAAAGATTTACTGATTTATTTGAGCCAACAGGACTGTGGCTTTTTGCCATGTTTCCCGCAGAGACCAGTGCTGGTTTATTTAATACCGTTTATTTAAGAGAAACAATCATTGAATTTAATAGCTTTTACTGCATACTTCATTTTTAATAGAATGATTTAAGCTTCTTCCAACAGATTGGATTGTATGTTTGTTCTGAAGTGCAGATAGTAGGAAGACTTTTGCTGCAGTGGTACAAAGGAAATGATTATACTTGATGACACAAATGAAAAATACCATTCTAGATTACCAGAAAAATATATTTAATAGTTGTATTTAGAGGATTGTGTCTGACAAATAATTAAACTTTCCTTTCCCTTTCTAGTTAGTGGCATCTATCGTTTTTATCAGCTTTGGAGTGGTGGCAGCTTTCTGTTGTGCAATAGTTGATGGAGTATTTGCAGCACGACATATAGTAAGTATGGTCTTTTCAGTATTTTTCTGTTGTTGGTGTCTTTGGAATGCTTTTGCCATTTTCATAACTAGGTAGCCCATTTTTGTTTGAGAAAATGTATATGTTGACGGTCATACAATTGCTATTGGCATATTCATATCTCTGTGAGTTCCAAATATGGAGGAAAAATTAAATGATGTAATGATAAGGATTCTCTAACTAGTGCCTGCTTACTAATGTTGAGGACATTTCAGGTTTCACCAAGCTTTATTCCATTTTCCAGATCTCAAGATGCACCTAAGAACCATTCATAGCAAGTAAGGGTTTGCCCTGTTCCAGATTTCATGGTGCTAGTATCCACAAAGCTGTTGAACAGCACCAAGGCTTCAGGATCATTTAACAAAGGGGTGGGGTACTGCAACAGAAGAAAGTGAATTGATTTGATGGAGAGGAAGGCAGAGAGACTGAAAAGTCTTGATTAGGATCAGAGGGAACTGAAAGTTGTGAAGTGATACCTACAAGTGATGAACAGCCAAAAGCTGACCATCTTCCAGCTGCTAAATGTTCCCACTGTAGCAGTTTTTCTTACGTCTTCTAAAAGCCCCCTTCGGTGTCTTGATCCTTACTATAAATTGAAAGGATATCACAGAAAAGTAGGGCTGGAGGGGACCTCGGGAGGCCATCTAGGTCAGCTTGAAGCAGGATCATCCCTGTCTAATCCATCCCAGAAAAATATTTGTCTAACCTGCATTCAGAACTTCCAGTGACAGAGATTACACAGTTTCTCTATACAATTTGTTTCATCGCTTAATTATTCTCATAGTTAGAAAGTTCTAATATCTAAACTAAATCTCCTTTTTTGTAATTTAATCCTGCTACTTCTTGCCCTGTCCCTATGGCCATAGAGAAGAACTGATCATCATCCTTATTATAACAGCCATTTTTTCACTTAAATATTGTTTACCAAATTTTCCCTCAGCCCTTTCTCTCTTCTCCAGATTAAATTATCCCAGTTCTTGCAGCTTTCCGTCATATGTTAAGTATTCTAGTTCCCTAATCATTTTTGTTGCTTTCCTCTGGATTCTTTCCAGTTTGCTCATATCTTTCTTGAGTGCAGTGCCCAAAATTAGACATAGTACTCCAGGTCTGAAACTGGACTTAAAACTCCAGGCCTCATTAGTGCTGAATAGACGAGAAGTCACTTCCTGTGACTTTCATGTGATAATTGTGTTAACATATCTCAGTATGTGATCAGCATTTTTTTTGCAATAATACAGATTCCTGCAGTCCAGTATGATCTTGAGGTCCCTTTCTACAGTGTTGCAGCCAAGCCAGTTGCTCCCTGTTTTGTATTTGTGCATTTGATTGTTCTGTCCTAAGGACATTACTTTCCACTTGCCCCTGTTGAATTTCGTTTGATTTATTTCAGATACTTTTTTTTCCCAATATATCAGGATCATTTTGAGTTGTAATCTTATCCTTCAAAAAACATCTGCTGCCCTGCCCAGGTCAGTGTCTTCTCAGATTTACTAAGTATGTGCTCAGTTCCATCTTCTGAGTCATGAATGTAAATGTTAAACAGTAACCAACACAAGACAAATCCCTGGGGACTCCCACATGATCATTCCTCCTACTTTGACATGAAGATCCCAGCTCACATTCAGCTACTTGTCAGCAATGGATTTTTTTTCTATTTCCCCATCCCCTTACCTTAAAAACAAGGCAATTAAGTTAAAAACAACTATGTTAATACTACATTTAATCGAGATGTTATCTGTATAAAGGGACTGGCAGATGTTCACTCAGTGATGGGATAGGAATATAATCCCCAATCCCTAATAGTCACAGCTCCTGCCATTCCACATGTGCATGGCAGTTTCTGGGCTTGGAGGTCAAGCCCCCGCCAGAAGAAAACCCAGGACATGGGGGAGAGCCTGGCACCTACAAACCCATGGGCTCCTTGCTGAGAACCAGGCATCAGGGCCCTCTCCCCGATCCCAGGGCCCAGTGGACATCGAAAAACCGTGTGTAGAGATGGACTGCATACGCAGCTTTTAAGAGGCTACCCAATCCCAGAGTCCTGGTGTGCCATGATTTGTAGCCAAGCTGTGTAGCTAAGCTAAACTAAGCTGCACAGGTAGTTTTTACAGGTCCCACAGCATGGAGACTCTGGACTGGGGAGATGCTCCCTAACCCCAGGGTCCCTGAGCACCAAGACTTGTAAAAACTGTGTGTATAGTCCAGTTTGGCTCTACTCAACAGTTTTAGACATTGTTGTGTATAGGGACACCAGAATCAATCAAGGAGTTTCTCCTCAGCATTGGGGACCTTGTAGCAGGGATGTCTGAACTTCCTTGCTTTGCAGCTCTTTGGGAGCTACAGTGCAATGTAGTGAACTGACCAGGTTGCAGGGAGCCTCAGAGCTCCCCACAATCCGGCATTTTAAAGTGCCTTTCCCCTCAGCCTCTGTGAGGGCTGTGCGGAAAGGCAGGAAAGGCTGCAGGGGATGGGGGTTCCCAGGTTTCCAGCAGGGGGAGCCCCTCAACTCCCCTGCCCACTTAACTTTGGATCTCTGCTTCCCCTTCAGCCCACTTTTGTCATTGGGGTACTACACATGCCAATTATAGTGCCATACAAATGAACCACAGACATTCCACATTTTGTGGAGTATCTTTGTGGCTGGTTTACCATTTCATGGCACCATGAAGCAGCTGTATGTGTAGCACTGTTACTATTTATGGTAATTAATTAACCATAGTACTTGCACCATACACGTAACATGTGCCAGGAACCTAAGAAACAGAATGTGTAAAGTCATGGTTTTTAGCATGTCCATAATGTATTAAATAATTAATAATGTATAATAAACTCATTTTTGATAATACATTAATTCCTACAGAATATTAGAGGCCCATGCATCTTCTCATTTATACCACTTAAGTGGTGGCAGAACACTTTGCCCTCAGTAACATTTCATCTGATTTTACATTGATGAAACCACATGAAGAATTGAGCCATATATAATTTGGAGCCTGAAACTATTAGGCCATTTGTTTTAGTGTCACTGAAAGGGACCTTTAAATCAAATGTCAATTTCAAGAGAGTATGTGTGTTGTACAAAGAATGAGACATCTAGTGGCTTGGTACAGCGAGTTTTGCAGTGCAAACTAGAGGAAAATTCGAAATACCCCGTTTTGTGCTACCATAATCAACAAATTGAACACTGTCATTAGAATCAGGACACTTGTTTTTCTTCTCACACTAATATTATTCCCATAGCATGACCAGGCCCTAGGGTTGGCCATGATACTCCCAGGTGGCCAAGCAACTCCTGTCAAACTTCAGCTCCTTGGAGTACACTCCCTTTTCTACCTTGCCTGCCACCCTTTGATGTATTTTGTAATACTTAGAGAGGCTGCCCCAGGGTCCTAAAGCAAACTCAGTCCTTCAGCTATCTTTTGCCCATGTGCCTAGCCGGCATCTGTCGCACCCCTCTGGTGCTAAATAATAGTCCTTCTGACCCTATCTATGCTTTAGGACATAGGCCACCTTAGAGGCAATAATTGTGGCCTCTGTCTACCCCTATAGCCATGCCCATGCCTTGTAGAGGTAACTCAGTGGGACTGCCCCAGCCCTACCACAAGACTTACCCCTCTGATGCCTCAAACCTTTCTTGGGGCTTCAGCCTTCCCAGCACTGGCCTCCTTTCTCTGGCTGTGCTCCCTCATCCCAAGTCTACTGCCTCAGACATCAGCTTCAGGGCCCCAGGCCTGGTATCTCTTGGCACCAGATTGCCTTCCTTGCTCTAGGCACTGGTTTTATATGCCTCTAAGCACTGCCCCTTCTGGTCAGGTGGCTTCTTAGCCACCCACAGGTATTTCCATTTAACTTAATGGCCAACCCACCCTCTGCAGCAGCCCTATACAGCAAATATGGCCCACTGCACTTTCCACTTAGGGAGCCTCTGGCTCTCTATTACAATTCCCTATAATGCTGGTTTGTCACTGTATCACTGGTGGTTCTTGATGTATATTGGTATAAGCCAGGAATGTTAAACATGGCCCCATGCATCAAATGTGGCCCCCAGAGTTGCTCCATCCAGCTCAGTAACCTACCAGTGGGCATGGGGCCCCAGTGGACATGGCTGCAGCAGGGAGAGAAGCAAGGAATGTGGCCACAGTCCACAATTGTCTTTGTGTTGCTTGCATGCCCTGTACCATGAAGAAATACCTGCCTAGCCTGCTGCTGCTTGCTCCACCACCTCAACAGTAGCTGTCACCATCGTTGCAATGTCTTCTGCCACCAGCCTGTGCCCTAGGCTGGGTCTGGTTTGCAAGGATCCCTAAGGTCCAGATCTAGCCTGGGCCAGAAGGTGAGTTTGATACAGCCCAGGCCACAACGTGAGTATAACATCTGAGTGCACTGTGTATGCAAAATCTTAAATGCAGAGACTAATAATAACCCTGTAAAGTTTCTAGGCATTTGCTTATTTGTTTGTCACTCTCTTGCCTTTAAACTACATGTATGTACAACTTGTACAACTACTTCAGAAACTGCATTGCTTTCTTATCTAAATCCAACAGTAGTATCATATGAGTATGCAAGTGTACTCTTACATGTGACAAAAAAAATCTCTTGCATAACTCTCACAGTTTATTTGCATCTGTTGTTTATCAGAATATAAATATCTGTGTGCCTTTTTACATTCTGGCATGGCCTTGTACAGCTGCAGGGCTGTGGAGCTGGGGTTCATAGAACTTTTACCATATTTTACCCATAAATTTCTTACTGGTGAGAGGAGTAATAACACATTAAATTTTTCCTTACAGGCTAAGGCCAAGAGAATTCAGATGCAAATATGCTCCTAACTAAAATTTTGGCCACTATCATTTGGGAATAACTTACAGAGTTTGGGTCAAACTGTCCTCTGAGGGCAAAATCCTGGCAACTCAGAGGGACTGCTGTGGCATTGTTCTCTCTTTTCCCTATAAAAACATGTCCAGGAATTGTTGGATTGGGAG